TCTTCCCGCAGCGCTGATAACGACCCACCTCTTCATTCAGCCAGTACGCATCATCATCCCCCACTGCTGACACGCATGTTCATATTGTTGTTTATAGCCACGGTTATAAGAGCTCATGAATACTGAAACATACATGAAGCATATGTGTGTCAACAGCTAAGTGACGTGACACGTGCTGTGACAGCTCAGAAACACAACAGAGGTCCAAAAACAGGCGAGGGTCGTAACCAGTCAAACTTAACCGGACAGGACGCAGGTGAACAGTCATTAATCATGTGTCAGGCGGCAGGAAACAAAGGCTGGAAAGATACGGCGGATACAAACTAGACAATCCAGCAGGGAATCAGTGGAGACCGGCCGGTGTATGTACCGTGGGTTGATTAAGGAAATGGACAACAGGTGAGGAAGCGGGCAGAGGTGAGGTGATGGCAACGATGGCAAAGAGGTTACTGCAGGGCAGCAGGGAGTGGCTGGACCCGAGCTGACAGGGAGAGCTGGTAAAGGCAGCGGTAACAGAGGCCGCAACAGGATGAATGCTGGGAGCTTTGACACATGCATTATGTATACTCACACTACTAACAAATGAAAAAGTGAATTGGAATGCAGCACATCAACATTTACTCCTCGTTTGCTGTGTGACCACACAGAGCCGATCCGAGGACGACAGAGAACGTTTAAGAGCTTTGAGACAGTCAGAGGAGCCTGTGATGGGATTCATTACGTATCTAACAACAAAGACAAAGAGAACAATCAGGGGTCTAAATTAAAGCTGACAACGGACGGTTTGAGACTAAAAGTGATCAGTAACATAATGTTTATTCATTTACTTACATTTACAGCTGCATTTAGTCATTTGGGGTTCAAACTGTTCTCACAAATGTTTTGTCTGTTTGTCTACGAGAAGAAACGCACCGAAATCTGGACATAGCCTTTTGAGAGGCTGCGATCATGTGACCAGTGTAGTGATGGCAGTAAACAAGGAGGCAGTCCCGAGTGCTTGGAGGGAGACACACACTCAGCTGACCTTTCCCTCGCTGGGCCGGATGCAGGGATGAGGTGGAGGCGTACTGGGACAGAGATACTGGGAGTGCGGTCTTAATTAAAAGATGCTGCTACCCGCTGGCTGCAGTCACAGCTCTGGGCCTCCACATTAAACCATTGATGAATCCTCCGATTTAACGACCTGAGAGACACAATGCAGCATCGGCACCGTTCCAACAACCACAGGACGCTGTCACCGCTCTGAGACGCTGCCTTTTTACCAAATCAGAATGTGACTGACGTACCAACATCAGACTGATTAACAACTAATTAAAACACTAACACTAAAACGGAGGCAGTGCTTCAGAGAGTTCTGACAGACTGTAATTGAACCCCACATCAGGAGCAGCGACAGCAACAGCTGACGGCATCGGACTGATCAACACAGTGACCTCTGTGACCTATTGGAAAGCCAGCCGAATGTGTTCACTGAGGCGCTTCGTCATTATCTGCAGAATAGAGACCTCAGTCCTGTCACTGTGTACCAAGCATGTCGATGGGACCTTCAGCAACTGAAAGACCTGAGGATAATTACTGCAAGCTTGTTGACTGCAGTATACACGTGTGTCCAGTGAGCTGAAAACCAGGAACATATTCTGGTTGTTCTTGGTCAAACACAGGACAGATGTAGCTTCAACATTTCAGTGCATCAAGATTTACTTACTCACCCTCCATAGCTGCCATCTCCTCAGCTCATTCAGTACTTTTCCACTCAGCCCGTCTGGTCACCACACCTAGAAACCAGCCTGCTGCCTGTCCACACGTCTCCCACTCCTGTGGCCCACCACGCCCATCTCATCTGGCTAACACCGCTCACCTGTGGATCATCACCTACTGTCAATATAAAGACGCCTGCTTCACAGACACTCCTCGCCAGATTGTGCGTACTCGGTATCGACCCTGCGCGTCCCTGTTTCTCCTGTTTCGTCTGCTCCCCTGTAAACCACTCTGCCCTCTGTCCTCGACCAAGAGCTCTGCTTCTGCCTTCCTGGTTCCTGTTCGCCTGTTTCCTGTGGTCTTCTGACCCGTGGGTTGCTGCGTTGTGTGGCGGTACACCTCGTCTTTGAGTGATGTGCCGCAGAACCCACGTTTCATGGCTACTGTCAAGCTCTCCTCTGTCCACGGCTGGCTGTGCATCAGAGACACTGTGTTCTAAATGAATACTCCTGGTGTTGTTCTGACATTGCTGCTCAAATTATGCTAATGACATAAAACTTTAAATTAAATTTATTTATTTTTTTCATTTTGGCCTTGAGTACTTAGGACGGCCATTTTGTTGCCTATGGTGTTTCATCAGGAAAAGACAGAGGGACAGTGTGTCCCCACAGCCTGAGAGCAGAGAGGAGACAGAGGGACAGTGTGTCCCCACAGCCTGAGAGCAGAGAGGAGACAGAGGGACTCAGCTGGACTGTAATGGAGGTGCAGAGAGCTTCATTCTAAACATTCACCACAGAAATAAGAGACATAAATCTCTCGTTCTCTCCTTCGCTCCTCCGTCCCCAGTCTCACTCGTCTTTACGTCACCCTGCTACAACCACCTCCTCCTTTCCTCCACCCTCCTCATCCTCTTCATCTCTTTGTCTCACCGTCCCCCCTGGAATCATTATCTACCTGTGTACCTGCAGATCTCTGACAGATTGTGGCGGAGTCATTTATCACTGCAAACAACACTGAGGGAAAATGGAGGCAGAGAGACGTCCACACAGACAGACATCAGCGGTGGCGGCGGCGCTCTGCCATGACGACAGATCTGACACTTTAACGTGTTTGAGAGACATCACACCCTGACTGTTGCTTCTGTCACACATCTTCTCATGTTATGATCCAGTCCTGAGGGTGGTGCCACACTGCCACCTGCTGGCACCAGGGCAGCAGTTTCAGCTGCACATTTTATTAAACAATATTCTCCAATATGAACTTTAGCTGCAGAATAAAAATATTTAGAGGAATATTTTAATTCCAAATTTTACTGTGTGAAAATGTAATAAATTATGTAAGGCACCAAAATAGGAGTGACACAGGGTGCAATATAATACAAGGTAACTAAAGGTAGCTGTGCCATAAATACGTCCATCATCAGCTTCCCACTGACGGAGTAGTAAAACAAACAGCATTAACATTTTCTGATCAGTTTAAGATCAATAAATGAACTCCCAGATGTTTGAGAGGTGACGCTGATCAACCTGCTGATTTTCAGTGAGAAGTGGTCACATTGGTCACCGACGTGGAGGACTCCAGCCATGACACTTTGCAGCCCGAGGATGAGGTGGCAGCCTACATGGAGTTGGGATCCTTTGGAGGTTTGATGGTGGTGGAAGGAGCATGCTAACATGTTTCCTAACCTGGCAGTGATTGAATGTTTTCACCATCCAGTCAAAGAGATGGAGAACCAGCTTCATGTGAGGGTCTGGAGCCTGGGGGGTTTGATCATGGTGCAGCTTTGTCTGAGACAAAATGACAGTAACAGGTTGGTTCTGGTGCTGAGCTTTATGGGTATGGGCGGGTGCAGGTTTCAAAATGGACCCGACTCTGACACACAGTACCATCAACACTTTCTTAAGGGTCACTTTAAGGCACTGATCATAAACCAGAACAAAAAAAACCCAAAAATCTAAACAGTAAATATAAATAATGATCTACAGCGATGGATTTATTGTCATCTGGGTTATTAAATCTTGTTGTGTCTCCACAGTCAAACGGTCTGCGTTTCCTCTGGTGAGATAAAGGAAGTCTTAATTTTAGAACACGCCTGCCAAACATGACATCATCCACCGCAGCTGTTTACTGCTCGCTTCATCACAGAGACTCAACGGCACCTTAATGACCTCTGAACACAGACCTGAGACGTTTACAGCCCACTCTGCATCCAGGACAGACAGAGCGCCGTCATGTTCTGAGCAGCACAATATCGCCCCCATGAGATGAGGTGGGAGTACTGTCACTGGAGAATCACACCAACAGCAGTGCTGAGGGTTTTTTTCTCCAGTCTGTTTTTAGCCACTGATGGACCGATGTGTCTTCCATTTCCTTCATTTCAAGTCCCTGACTCTTACCTTCTGTTACAGTCGGAAGATTTAAAACATTTTAGGGAGAATGAGGAAACAGTTTCAACATAAAGAGGTACTCTGTGATTTACTGTGGCCTTTTTATAAAACTCCAGGTCCCACAAAACTTAGGTCTCGTCTCCTCTAACATATGTGTGCAGAGACGAGGCATTCATTCATTCATTCATTCATGTTTCAAAAACATGTTTCGTGAGATCACACTGACCTTTGACCTTCAAACACAAAATTCTGATTAGTATATTCTTCAGTCCAAGCGGACATTTGTGCCAAATTAAAAGACATTTCCTTTAGGTGTTCTTGAGATATCACGCTCAGGAGAAAAAGACAGATGAGGTCAAACAGACTTGACCTCTGACCTACGACCACCAAAATGTAATCAGCTCAGCCTCGAGTCCAAGTGACTGTTTGGCCCTTACGTCACTCTTGAGACATCACGTTCACAGGGATGATAAGTGCATGTGTACATATGTACGTACAGATGGACGGACAACCTGAAAACTGAATTAATTTATTTTCACTGTGAATCAGAACATGTTTGGGGGGCCACTCAGCACCCTGTCAGGGGCCCCATGTGGCCCACAGGCCATGAGTTGAGCATGACTGCTGTGGTACGTATGAGTGCGAAGTGTAGACCGGCTGTTTTAGCTCAAAACAAATCATGAACATTGAAGTGACACGATCAGCGTCAGCACTCTGTGACCTGCCTGCTGCCATCCAGTAACAGGATTCAGTCAGGAAACACACGGTCTGATGAAAAAGTTTGTCTTGGTTTTATCTGGATATAACACGGTCTGGAAACATCCACATGTTCAGGTGTCCACAGAGGGGGGCGCTGTCACTGACACACACTGACATTAAAGAAGGAGAGAGAGTGAGAGGAGAAGATGTTCTTACCTTTGTAGTGCCGATCGTCTGTGGGAGCAGAGGAGAGACAGAACACAGTTTGGTTTCACAGCTCGTCTTCAAAGTGTCAGCACAGTGTAAGAAGCCTTTGAGTCACACTGACTCTGTGTTGGACATGGAAACACATGTGTGGACGCACAGAGAGGCTCCTGATGAACATGGTGTTGGTCTGTGACATCAGACAGTGACATGCTGAACCAGCTGGACTGACGACAGGACAGAGGCGTCAATACAGACAGAGTGGGCCGAGTGAATGATTCAGATGCCTCCCCCCCCCCTTAACTACACCTGTGTTCTACAGGCTGTGTGAACCCTTTCCTTTCCTTTCCTTTCCTTTCCTTTTCATTCTTTTCCTTTCCTTTCCTTTCCTTTCCTTTCCTTTTCTTTCCTTTCCTTTTTATTCCTTTCCTTTCCTTTCCTTTCCTTTCCTTTCCTTTTTATTCCTTTCCTTTTCTTTCCTTTCCTTTCCTTTTCTTTCCTTTCCTTTTCATTCATTTCCTTTCCTTTCCTTTTCTTTCCTTTCCTTTTTATTCCTTTCCTTTTCTTTCCTTTCCTTTCCTTCTCCTTTCCTTTCCTTCCCTCTCCTTCCCTTTCCTTTTCTTTCCTTTCCTTT